TTTTTTCTTTCTTTAAAATAAAAATAACTGATGTCAAAAAAAAGTATGCGTGCATACTGCAGGTCTGTACATCTACACACAAAAAAAAATCATAATGATGCATTATGATTAATCCTCGTCAAAATATTACTTCTTCCTTTAAACTCACTTTTGCCACTTTCTGAAGCAGTTCTGGAAGCCTTTTTTGTGATTAAAAGAAAATATAGTGAATGCGGCTGCCAAGTGTAATTCAGTGGAAGGACAGGTAGGTTTGTGAAAAGAGCACAGTGTGTCCTCACCCACCTTTCCACTATATCTAGTGGTCCACGCCCTCAGTGTCCAAACAACCTTGAAAGGTAAGCATTTTGAGTCCATTTAGGGCATGAAGGCAGCCACAGCTGTGACTAAAGACATTACCAAAAGAGGACTTCCAGAACTGCTTCAGAAAGTGTTGAGAACAGTTGAGTGTGTTTGAAGCAAGGGGGAGTATTCTGAGGGGGATTCATGGCCGTGTGTCTGTTACCATAGTAAATTGTTCTTTATTTAAACATTTATCCTATTGCAAAGGCCCTGGGTTCAATTCCCATTACCACCACCACCCAACTAAAGCAGTTGATAGAATGACCTTCTTTTGGCTTCTCATCTTAGATATTAAAGATAGCAAAATGTCTAATGAGAAAACAAATGATATATAAATGTATTAACTTAAGACAAATATTAAAAATATTATTTAATATCTTAAAAATCAAACACATGTAGGATGGACTTTTTAATAGTAATTAAGGGGAATGTCATATTACTTGGGTTTGAATCTGGACCACTTCAGTAAGTGCTTATGCCCTTTAGGATGCCGCAGTTCCCTCATCTTTAAAAGGGAGAAGCTGTGCTCAGTAGTGTTGTCAGGAGACTAAATGAGAGATCATCTATACATTCACAACTAGGTCTAACACACAGAGATACCATGGGTTTGATTGTTTTTCATTTTTTGCTCATGAAGCTAAGGGATTTTCAAGTCAGATAGTTCCAGCACTGAAACTTTGTTTTGCTGCTTTCATAAGCTCAACTTGGAAGTTGAGCCTGGAATAAATGGATCTTTTGCTTACCTTTTTGACCATTCTATACAGAATTTATTTTAATACAGAATTAACTTCTTTCTTTCAAATTTTTTTCTGGGAAGTACTAGGGAATTGAACTCAGCACCTTGTGCTTGCCAGGCAGGTGATTGTGCCACTGAGCTATATCCTGGCCCAGAATTTCTTATAAGATTGAACAATGAAAATTTAAAAATGCTTTGGGACACGGTGGCAATAACCTATAGTTCCAGGTACTTGAAAGCTGAGGCAAGAGGATCACTTGAGTTCAGGAGTTTAAGGCCTCTCTGGGCAGCATAGAAAGACTGTCTCCAAAAGGGGGAGGGGCTCAGCTACTCTTTGTAACACCCACAAGTTAGAGGGAGAAAAGTTTATTTTGGCTCACGTTTCGTAGAGGTTTCAGTCCATAGTCAGCTGGCTTCAAGGCAGGATGACGTGGCACAGGTTTATCACAAAAGAGAAACAGATGGTGGTGTGGCAGGCAGAAGGCAGCAGACAGTGAGCCTGGCTTTCCTGTTCACTCATCCAGGCCACAAGCCTTTGGAGTGGTGCCATCCACACCTAGGGTGCGGCTTCTGTCTTGGGTCAGTCCACTCAGCCACAGCTGGAACTGTGCCAGTTCTAATCAGTGGACCAATTTAGTACCACACACCCTTGATCCCAGTGTCACATGCCCTAGATCTAGCAAGCTCCAAAAATCCTGATGTGTGCATGAGGTTTTAACAACGTGTGGGTATATGCCACAATAGGGGGATTTAATGTAATGCATTTATAGTCAGCAAAACTATAAAAGAATTTCCTCTTTTTTTTTTTTTTTTTTTTTTTTTGGTGGAACCGCGGATTGAACTCAGGCCCTTGCGCTTGCCAGGGAAGCGCTTATCCCACTGAGCCATCTCCCTGGCCCCAGAATTTCTGTTTTGATAAATGAATAAAAAGTATTTGAAAAATTGGTCACAACTCAACTAGGTGGTTTATGGTTTTTTGTTTTGTTTTGTTTTGTTTTTTTGGTGGTTTGTGTTTTGCTGCTAAATTAACCTACTAGCTCTAGAGAAATGTGTCATGCTTTTCTTTTAATCAAGCCATATTAGGATGCTTAATCATGATGGTATGAAGAATTATCTGGTATGTGCTTGAATTATCTGAGGCCAAAATGAAATTGCCTTATTCAGTCTTCAGTGAACTTGTTCCTATTAGCTAAACAGTCTAATAGGTTTGCTTTAGTGACCAAACCTTTTTTTTTTTTTTTGGTAGCCACTCTTTTTTTTAAAATTTTATTTATTTGTGTGTGTGTGTGTGTGTGTGTGTGTGTGGCCAGCTCAGCCCACCAGGGGGCGGGGCTGGCTGGCATGTGGTGCTGGGGGATTGAACCGCGGTCCCTATGCTTTTAGTTTGTTCTAAGTAGGTGCTTTAGACCACTGAGCCATCTCACCAGCCCAAGGAAGGGCTGAGGACCCTGGAATAGGGCCCTCGACCTCTGCTGCATATTAGGCTTTTTTTTTTTTTTTTTTTGGGGGGGGGGAACCAGGGAGGATTGAACTCAGCCCTTGCACTTTTATTCCACTGAGCCATCTCCCCGGCCCTGGTAGCCACTCTTGACAGGAGAATATTTCTCTTCTGGATCCTACCTAGGATTTTTTCCTGTCTTCATTCAGAAACACAAATGGACTTTTTTTGTTTTTTAAATTGTTGAATACTTGAAATCTTTTTTGTGATTTAAAATTTTTCTGTTTTATAGGTGTTATTTTATACAAAAATCTTGTGGGACCACTGCACAAAGAGATGATTGTACAAAGAGTGGTATTGAATTCCCGACCTGGTATGTATTTATCTGTCATCAGTAAACAACACTGGTTTGTGATAAATATTAATGCAAATGGGAGAGCAAAAACTGATTATTTTTGGGTGTAATGGCACGTTCATGCCTGGAATCCCAGCATTTGGGAGGCTAAGGCAGGAGGATCGTGAGTTAAAGGTCAGCTTAGACCACTTAGCGAGACCCTGTCTCAAAAAAACAAAAACCAGAAAACAAAAAAATGCAACCAATTGCAATGGCAGTGTGATAAATTAAGGTAGTAAGATATTTAGACCATAAATAATATTAGAAGTCCTTTGAACAGTATAACAGTGATGAGATAAAGGATCATGAATCATAACATTTGATAGGCTGTACTGCAAGTGTGTGTAGCTTTTGTTTTTTTCTTCACAGTAGGTAGCGCTGATTCTCATTTGCTTTTCTGTTTTTTGTGATGCATCCTGATGGTGTCTGTCAGTGCTGAGGCACAGAAACTTAGGTATAGACGTAACCTGAGAGGTTGAGGCCCCAAGTTGCCCTGGTTTTGCTTCTTACCTACTGCATGGTCTAAGGAAGCCACTCAGCTTTCCTGGCCTCAGCTTAGTAACGTGAGCAGTTAGATACTTGTTTCCACTTTATTACCTAGCTGATTCTTGGAAAGTTATTGATGTTAAATATAATTGAAGGTGAGCACAGTTTTAGTGCTGACATTTTCTGCTTATGTATTTGTCTCAGACTTCACAAATTCTAATTCCCTAGGTTTAAAAACTTAATTTTTATTTATTTACTTATTTATTTAATGGTACCAGGGATCAAACTCAGGACCTTGGGCAAGCACTTACTCGAGCTATCTCCCCGGCCTCAAATGAGTTCTTTTTTTGTTTGTTTGTTTGTTTGGTGGAACCAGGGATGGAACTCAGACCCTTGTGCAAGTTTTGTTTGCTTCTCAAAATGGGAGAGGAAAGCTAATATTTCACTCTGGTTGTCGTGTTCTTGCTAGTTTGTAAAGTTTAATTCTCATAATTTAAAAAAAAGTTGAGTGATTTTTACTTTTCAAACTCCTGTACTATACTATGTGAAATAATTTAGCTATCATTTTATTAAAGAAAATTACAAGCTGACAGCAATATTCTAAAAGAATGGAAAAAGAATGATGAGACTTTTAGAATTTATAGAGTCATTTCTGCAGTTACAGAGAAATTAAAAGACAATATGGATTTATTTTTTTTTTTTTAAATTTTTTTTTAAAATTTATTTATTTATTTGTGTGTGTGTGTGTGTGTGTGTGTGGCCAGCTCAGCCCACCAGGGGGCGGGGCTGGCTGGCATGTGGTGCTGGGGGATTGAACCGTGGTCCCTGTGTTTGCTAAGCTTGTTCCAAGTAGGTCCTTTAGACCACTGAGCCATCTCACCAGCCCCGACAATATGGATTTAAAAGAGAGTGTTTTGAATCCTAGGGTGAACTTTTAAAAATTATACAGGAAAATGATTTTTTGACTTTATATTTTTGCCTGCTATCATAGGAAAAAATGGCAATCCAGTGGCAGAGAATTTCCGAATAGAAGAAATCCCTTTGCCAGATAATATCAATGAAGGGCAAGTTCAAGTTAGAACTCTTTATCTTTCTGTGGATCCTTACATGGTAAGAGCCAAGATTATGAGTTGGTGAAAGTATTTCTGTTTTCATGTCCTTGCTTTGGAATTTTATTGTGTAGTCCTTATGACTGATATTTGAGTAGTTACATCTCAATACTTATGAACTACAGATTACCTTTGTTTTTACTTACTGGTGTTATTAGCAATGCTGTAGAGGGCGTGGATTTTTTATAATAGTAGTAGTCAGTTTCTTCCAGATATCCATGTCACTTCCCAGTAGTAAATAAAGATTGAAAATAATAAAGTACATTTGGAAATTCAGATCTGGTTTCAAGACAGGGTATTTACAAGATCTTTATTCTTTATTCTAGTCAGAAAAAAAATTTTTTTTCTCAATGTGTTTCATACAGGGTCTCACTGTGCACCTTGGACTTGTAGTGATCCTCCTGCTTTTAGCCTCCCCAGTGCTGGGATTATAGATGTGCACCATCACGCCCAGTCTCAGTTGCCCTAGTGCACCTTGTGTGGTGCCAGGGATTGAACCCCAGTCCCTGTGCTTACCTAGGCAAGGGCATGGTCTGCTGAGCTATCTCACTGACCCTATTCTAGTTGATCTTTTTGGGAAAGAAACAGACTCATTTATGCTTCCTCTGGATAAAAGGAGAGTTCTGGACAAGGTGTATATTGCTGAGGACTAAACAAAGCAACTGTCAGGCATGAACCTGAGCTTGAAGGGCTGTCTTCTTGCTGTGTTTCTCAGAGGTTATAGTCTCTATATTCCTAACTGTATCTCATGGCCAAGCCTTTACCTTCTGCTACTTAGATCCTCTAAGCATGGGTGCATATATATTACTGTGGTATGAGGCTTTTCATTCTTTTGGGAAGATACCAAGAAGGAGAATACCTGAGTCAAATGGGACCTCTGGTCCTATTTTTTTCAGTTTATGTATTTGGTACAGGGTCTTGCTATACAGCTCAGACTCATAGTGATCCTCCTATTTTCAGCCTCCCCAGTGCTAGGATTACAGTCATGTGCCACCATGCCCAGACTCGCCAGCTTAGTGCACCTTGGGGCCAGTGCAGCCAGTTTTGGGGATTGAAACCCTGACCCTGCGCTTGTCTAAGCAGGCACTTAGTATGCAAAGCTATATTGCTGGTCCTAGTCTTGGTTTTTGAGAGATCTCTACACTGATTTCCACAGTGGTTGCACCAGTCTACACTCACACCAGTCATAGCGAAGGGTTCTTTTTCCCCACAGCCCACCAAGATTTGTTGTTAGCTGAATTGTTGAAGATATCCATTCTTTCTGGGGTAAGATGGAATCTCAGTGATATTTTAATTTGCATCTCTTCAGTGACCAGTGATGTTGAACGTTTTTTCATATATTTATTTGCCATTTCTGTTTCTTCATCTGAGAAGTACCTATTCATTTCAAATGCTTATTTTTGGATTGGGTCTTTAAAATTAGGTCTTTAATTTTTTTTAATTCTTTACATATTCTAGATACTGGTTCTTTGTCTGAGAACTTAGTGGCAGTTTTTTCCCCCACTCTGTGGGGGTTTTTTGTTGTTGTTGTTTGTTTGTTTGTTTATTTGGTTTGGTTTTTTTGGTCTTTTTTGAGACAGGGTCTTTCTGTGCAGTTCAGGTTGGCCTTGAGCTCACTTTGTAGCCCAGGCTTGTCTGGAGCTCACAGTAATCCTCTTGCCTCCTGAGTGTTGGGATTGCAGGCATGCACCACCATGCTAGGCTATGTGGGTTTTCCATTCACTCTGTTAGTGATTTCTTTTGCTGTGCAAAGCTTTTTTTAATAGGTCCTACTTGTTGATTCTTTGTGATAGTTCCTTGTGATTGGGGTTTTGTTATGAAGTCTTTGCCTATATCAATGTCAAGAATTCTGCCTATTCTCTCTCAGCAGATTTAACGTTTTATTATTATTATTATGTTCCATTTTATTTGCTTTTGACACAAGATCTCACCATGTAGTTCAGGCTGGCCTCAAACTCATGGTGAACCTCCTGCCTCTGCCTCTGAGTGTTGGGATTACAGTAATACACTACGACAGCTAGCTTCTGTTTTAATATTTAGGTCTTTATATGTAGATCTTTGTCCATTTCAATTTTAGTTTAGTGCACAGTGTTAGGCGTGGGTCTAGTTTTACTCTTCATCATGTGAAAAGCCACTTTTTTCCAGCACCATTTATTAAAGAAGCTATCTTTCTTCCAATGAAGAAGATAAGGTGGCTGAGTATGTCTGGAGTTGTTTCTCGGTCTTCTGATCTGTGCCATTGATCTTCAGGTCTTTTATTTTGTCTGTACCACACTGATTTAACACAGTAGCTTTATAGCATAATTTGAACTCAGGGATTGTGATACTCCCCTCTTCCCTGCCTTGCCTTTGTTACCCAGAATTGTTTTCGCTATTCTAGGTCTCTTCTGGCTCCACATCAATTTTAGGATTGTTTTCTCTAATTCTGTGAGATACGCTGTTGGAATCTTCATTGGTATTGCATTAAATTTGCATAAAAATTTTGAGAGTATGGCCATTTTCACTATATTGGTTCTTCTAAAAACAGGTGATACCTTTCTATTTTTTGATATCTTTGATCCCCTTTTTCAGAGTACTGTAGTTTTTAATGTAGAGGTTATTTATTTCAATAGATTGATACCTAAGTGTTTCATTTTTAGGGATGCTATTGTGAAAGGTGTTGTTTCCCTAATTTCTCTCTCAGTGAGTTTATTTGTATACAGAAAAGCTATTGATTTTTGATGTTGATTTTATATCCAGCTACACTACTAAATTTGATTATTAAATCTAGAGGTGTTTTGGTAAAGTTTTTGGTGTCTTCTATTTAAAGTATCATGTCATCCACAAATAATGATAATCTAACTTCTCCCTTTTTATCTTTATTCCGTTTATTTCTTTCTCTTGTAATTTCTCTGGCTAATGTTTCCAGAACTGTATTGAACAAGAGTAGTGACAGTGAACATCTTTGTCTTGTTCCTGATTTTAAGAGTGAAAGCTTTCAGCTTATGTCCATTTATTATGATGTTGGCTGTTAGTTTGACCTAGATAGCTTTTATCCAATTGAGATAAAGATCATCTATTCTAATTTTCTTTAGGATTTTTATCATGAATATGTATGGACTTTGTCAAATGCCTTTCTGTGTCTACTAAGATAACCGTGTGCTTTTTGTTGGTTCTGTTAATGTGGTATGTTATATTTTACTGTTTTGCATATGTTGAACCATCCCTGCATCACTGGAAATCCTACTTAATCATGATGTATAATCTTCCTGAAGACTGTTTGGATTCTGTTTGCCAGTATCTTATTGAGGATTTTTGCACTTATGTTCAATAGGGAGATTGGTGTATAGTTCCCTTTTTTTGGTTGGATCCTTCTCTGGTTTTAGCATTAGGGTAATGCTTACTTCCAGGAATGAATCTGGGAGTATTGCTTCCCTTTCAATTTCATTTTAAAGACTTTGAGAAGTAGCAGCGTTAGGTCTTCTCTACATTTCTTGTACAATTCAGCAGTGAATCTGTCAGAGGCTGAGCTTTTCTTTGTCAGTAGCTTTTAAAATATTTCTTCAAGAGACTGGGCGTAGTGGTGCATGCCTGTAATCCCAACTCTTGGGAGGCTGTAAACAGGAAGATCACTATGGGTCTGATCTAGTAGTGAGACCCTGAATACCCTGTAGACTCTTCTAAAAAAAAATACAAACCCTAAGTATTTCTTCAAAAAAATTGTATCTTCAATTTCATTTACTGATATTGGTTTATTTAGAACTTTTATCTTTTTTATTGAGCCTTGGTAATTCATATTTATCTAGGAATCTGTCTATTTCTTCTGTGTTTTCCATGTTATAAGAAAACAGTTTCTTTAATATAAGGACTTACAATTCCATATATGACTAGGTTTCTAAATTTCTTTGTAAAAATATGTAAATGCTTATTTCTACTTTTATATAATTATTTTTCCTTCATATTCTGCAAGGACTTAAAGTTCAACATATCAATATCTGATGGAAAATACCTGTTCCAGGATATGCCAAAACGTTTGATATTTCTACAGATAGGATAAACCATACTGCATATATTGCAGGTTAATAATTAGCTTCTCTTCTGGAGGGTTAACAACCTAAGTTAGCAGATCAAAATTTGGAGAAAAAGAAGGGCTACATGATTAGCCAACATTTTGGCCGTAGCCTTTCAAGGTCAGTGAAGACTCGGGACATAGGAGAACCTGTACTGTAACAACATGTAACTCAGTTGTGCTCCAAACTTTCTGATCAAAAAGATTATGGAGCCACAGAGAAATGTGTTCGAGGATTTAAAGTGAGCCTGTGGAGAATCACATGGAGAGAAAAAACATTTTCTCAAGCTTTCACAGAGAGCAAATTGGTCAAGCAATGGCCGTGACTCATCCTCAGGTCAGACACTGACAAAAGGATGTACAAAGGTCGGTACAGGGCTACAGGATAAATCGTGAGAGTACTTGGCTGACCTTATCAGATACAAAAGTTACATTTCTGGGTATATAGGTCTTGCTATATCTTGGTCTTAACATCCAGTAGAAAGTATAAAAATATGATTGAATTTTGAAATCAATGTAATATTTTTAAAAAAAAAAAAAAAAAAAAAGAAAATCAGTTGTAATGGGTTTCTTTCTTGACTTTATTCTGTTCCATTGGCCTGTTTGTCTGTTTTCTATGTCAGTGCTATGCTGTTTTGACTATTATAATCTAATTTTAGAACATTACTAAGTTATTTATTTGTTTACTTTTGAGGTACCAAGAATGGAACCCATACTTAACTCCTTCCCTCCTATTTTTGATTCCTCCAGTAGTGGGAATATAATCCAGAGCCTTGACACTAAGTTACTTCTATAGCCATTTTCATTTATTTATATTTTGAGACAGGATCTAGCTAAATTGCCTAGTCTGGCCTTGAACTTGGGACCAGCCTCCCAGAGTGTGTGGACTGTAGGCTTTTTAATTGCACTTCTTTACTTTTTAGAGAAGTGCATTATTTTTCAAATAAAAAGTTAATGGAGGGGCCATGGAGATGGCTCAGTGGAATAAGCACTTCCCTGGCAAGCGCAAGGGCCTGGGTTCAATCCCCGGTTCCGCAAAACAAAACAAAACAAAACAAAAACTTAATGGAGAAATTAAGATACATGTTATTTGTTTGACTAACATTGTTTGATTTGTATTTTTTCTTTTTTTTTTTTTGGTGGAACCGGGGATTGAACTCAGGCCTTGCGCTTGCCAGGGAAGCGCTTATTCTATCTACTGAGCTATCTCCCTGGCCCCCATTGACTAACATTGTTGTTAGTATTACTTATATATGTTTCTTGTAGTTACTGAGTAAATCAGTAAAGTGTGGCTCAGAACCCAGCAAAATTGTCATAATCAATTTGGTTTTTTTTTCAGCGTTGTAAGATGAATGACGACACAGGTACTGATTACCTAGCACCTTGGCAGCTGTCTCAGGTGGCCGATGGTGGTGGTATTGGAGTTGTAGAAGAAAGCAGGCATACTAATTTGACGAAAGGTGACTTTGTTACTTCCTTCTATTGGCCTTGGCAAACCAGAGCTATTCTGGATGGAAATAGCCTTGAAAAGGTA